GCTGCAGTGATCTCACTCAGCCAGTTTAACACTACTGGAAACTGTGAGCTCTTCCCTCTACTCTTGAGTTGTGGAGCCTAACCTTAAGACACCCATTGTTTAGCCAATTACTTGTGTAAGCACCAATTAAAAAAAGAAAAGCAGCTGAGCGCCAATTCACTGGTCTAGTGATAGCGAAAGACAACGCTTTGCCCAAAAATGACCTGCAATCACGTTTCAAGCGGCAGCCTTGCAGGTTGCTACAAAGTTACAGAGCCCGCCCTTCAGGAACTAGAGGGACAAGAGTAAGAGAATGCTACAGATCCATCCTAAGTAAACTCCATCATCAGCTAAAGGGTGGTCTTGATGCCCTGCAAAAATGGGAGTCCTAGGGTAGTTTGGAGGATCAACAGATATAACCAGGTCCTAAAATAAGAGGAAAGCGTAGAGCAATGGACCACTATTATCTAACAATGATAAAATAGACTTGGAGAAAGAAAACCAGATTAGATACTTTAGTAGATTTCAGAAATGGGGTCAAATCACAGCTGAGTACTAATACTGCCATCTACAGGACTACAATATAGTTGCTTCTGTTTTATTCTGAACTTGACATTCTATCTACTTTTAGTAGAGGCTATGAGAAAACATCAACCTGAAAGTCATATTTATGTCTGAAAATTCTATATGTAATTGCTAATACTTTATCTAAATGGAGAGATTGTATGTTTCTGTATTTTTCAAGTTTATTTTGTGTATTCAATAGACAATAATGTCTAATTTCTTTCGCTGTTTCTCTAGAACATCCATAGATCTTTGTTAGCAGAGACCTTTGAAAACATCTTTAGAGGGCTCTTTATATATGTTACAAAAGATAGATATGTTATATTATATACACATGTACGTACCACAAAACATGTCTGCATTATGAGAATATGGAAATTTCAAAAAAACTGTTTAAATACTTCATATAAATTAAGAGTAGTTATGTCTATGTATGTGTTACAAACATACAACTGTATGTAGTTCAAAAGGAACCAAACTGCCTTGCGGTTATGTACAAGTAAAGTATTCATGAATGCATTATTACATTAGCATCTACAAGTTTTGTTTTGTTTTTTTAAACAAGGTTAACTTTGATGCATGTATAGAAGATATTATACAAGGATCTGTAAGATCCAGACTTTAAAGAAGAAATGTTTATGATTAGCCAGACAAGCCTGGTTTTCTAGCTGCTACGTTTTTTCTAAATTAAAAAAACAGTGCATGCAGATAAGCATTGCCTATAAAAGCAAAGTTTTAACCCAAAGCAAAGTTTAGAATGAGAGAGTGTCCCAGAAAATAAAGATCTAGTCATGGGAAAACTGGATTAAGCAGCAGCAAAGTAGAAATGTGCAAGGACAGGGAAAACATTCTTAAAATTAACAAGAAATTAAACTATTATTAGAAAGTATTCACACATAGCTAAAAGTATGAATGTCAGAGAAGTATGGAAATCAAAAGAGATTTTCCAATGATCAGAGCACAGTAGGTGCAGCCCACACATTTTTCAAGTACATCTGGTACACAGAAGGGAACAGAGTAAGGTTTACCCAAATTTTGAAAACTGAGCCTACTTTAGGAAAATTAACCAGTGTCAGGTGTTGTGTTAACTATGACACACACAGCTTACACATCTCTTAGACCCCTAGGTAGGCCTTAACATGCACCACATGTGCAGTTTTAAAAACACTGATAAATCTTCATACAATTTTTCCTCTGTTATGTGTTTTGATGAGAAATGAAACAATAATGTTGACATTTGAAATCTCATCACTAGACTCTGAGTTAGCACCCGCTGATATTAATGGCACGGTTCAAACTGTGTTTACAGTTTTCTGGTCAAACTCTAGGAAGAATCCACCAGGGAGCAATCTTGCACTCACAGGGGACAAGCTTTGATGATCCCAACAAGATTTTCCCATGCCTAGTTTCCAAAGCCCTATCAAAGTGAAAACATAGTGAAATTAGAAGCCAACTTTCCTACCAGTGCTAACACATCAGTTGCATATTATACACATTGTACCACAAGACAACCAAACAGCTTGCATCACAGAAGGAAGCCAACCTTCAGAACTGCAGTCAGACAAACTGTCAATCAGAGAATCGGATAAAGGTTCAACAGGACCAATCAATTCAGATCCATCATGCACCTCACCACCCTGAAAAGAAAGGGAGAGAAAAGTCTGTATTCACTTATTATTTGTTATGGAAAGTATCATTATCATACAGCAACAAGAAAAGTAGCCACTGCCAGTTAAAATGAACAATATATTCTAAGCTGGCAAATCTTCCTATTTTAGAACTAATTCAATTGTATTACATACATTTGTGCTGCACTAGCCCGTTTACCTTTATGAAAGCTGCTGGTCTATTTTCTAACAAGGTTTTTCAGTGATAAAATTACACTAAACTATGAGGGTTATCAAACATTGGAACAGACTGCCTAGAGAAGTTGTAGAATCCCCATCCCTAGAAGCTTTCAAGTTTAGGCTGGAGAGACACTCGGCTGGGATGGTTTAGTCAGGGATGATCCTGCCCTGATCGGGGGGCTGGATTGGATGATCTTGCGAGGTCCCTTCCATCCCTACTTTCCCAGGATCCTATCTCCAAATTATTCTACACAAACTATGAGGTTGTTTCAAAAAGTAATGGCAATTTTGCAATGATCATTTACTGGAATGCATCAGCTCTCTACATAGTCATAAACAACGGGTGCATTCAATAATGCCAACATCAGTGCTCCCTGCTGCTGTGCAAAATGGTGCAATTTAAAAAAAAATCGCTGTTACTCTCTGATCCACACAACTGAACTCAGCTACAGAGAGGTGTTTCACAGTGCTATCTTACGCTCAAAAACCAATGGAAAGCAAGGCTCCAGGGAAAGCAGTTTCTGGTTATAGCATGATTTAAATCACTTTGGAGTCATGTTAAGCCAAATTAGCATAAAGCAGCTCCCCTTTTCTTTTTGGAAGGAGAAGAGGTTTCAATTAAGTAAGCAACAAGAAAGACTGGACAAGCAAAAGCCCACCAGAACTTTCAGAATCACTGCTCACCAAGTCAGCTGCATGCCTTTCCTTGCACCTGTGGTAACAACCTACGCCAGCAGTGCTCAAACTTTTTTTTAAACAAAGGAAGTGCACCAAATCTTAAAATAAGAAATGGACCAAGAGCTGCATGGCAAAGCATTATAGCTCTATGCTTTGGCATACCCTAACATCCAGTATTTTAAGTAATATTAGAAAGGAAAACGCATGGTTTTAGTAATTTTAAACTTCAGTACAGCTGAGGAGGTACTGAAATTGTCTGGACTGGACTGAGACTGAGTGCCCAGCTAAGTACCCTGTTCAGCAGTAGGAATTGAAGTTGATGAGCCACTGGCTTGCAATAGCCTGGAAGGAACTGGATGGATTCCAGGTTCTTAGTGTTAGCAGGGGATTGTGGGAGGAGAGGACAGAAGTAGATCAGCCTGTGACACTAGCTGGCAGCACTGTTCCTTACCTCAGCTCCCTGCACTTCCCAGTGCCCTGCTAGTGTCACAGTAGAGTGGGATCATGCTCTGCCACAGAGCAGCGTGGCTTTAAAATATCATATATATTTATTTATGTTTATTTATTTTTGGTGCTGTAGCCAACCCTGTGCTGTTCATACTTGTGTAGTCGCTGCCTTTCCCTTTCCAGCTGCAAGGTTTTCACAGGGCTCTGGAGTATTGGAGTGCAGGAGCTGAGCCCTTACTGCTGTCTGCCTCCCTCTCACCTTAGAATCATAGAAAATTAGGGTGGAAGGGACCTCAGGAGGTCATCTAGTCCAACCCTCTGCTCAAAGCAGCACCATCCCCAACTAGATCATCCCAGCCAAAGTTCTGTCTAAAAACTTCCAAGGATAGAGATTCTACTACTCTCTGGGTAACCTGTTCCAGTGCTTTAATACCCTCCTAGTAAGAAAATTCTTCTCCCGCACTGAATTCAGCTGCAGGGAAAAGAAAAGATGAGCAGCAGAAATGGCCCTCAGCCCCTGGGCTTGGAGTTCCACAAAAACACTGAGCTCACTGGCATGTTAACCCAGGCTCTGGATGGGCCCACAGTTTTCATGCTGGGTGATGAGCAGTAGTGGCAGCAGTGCTTAGCTTCTGGGCTCCAGAGCTACACAAAAACTGTGGCTCCAGTCAGAACCCACACTGATATGCCAGTGATATCAGAGGGTTTATGGAGCTTCAGAGTCCAGGGCCTGAGCCCGGCCACTGCTGCACATCACCTCTTTACCCTGCCTTTGAACTCAGTGGGAGAGGGATAAGAAGTCAAAAGGCAGTGATACCCAGCTCCTGGACTCCAGAGCTGCATGAAAGCTCTGACATTGCCAGCCTGTCAGCAGGAGTGAGAACCGTTGCTGCTCATATCCTCCTTTCCCCCGTTTCTCAACTCAGTTGCATGGGAAATGAAGGGAAGAGTAGAAAGAGCCTTTACTTGGGTTGATGTGCCACACCCGGTCCACAGGGTGGAGGCTGAGCTCCCCTGACATACAAAGCTAAATCCGAATAGGACATATTTAATACTGTTTGCCCCAGAAATAGTCCAGTACATACATCCACACAAAACTATCCAGCTTGTTTATGTCAGCAATGTGCTGACATAAATCCTCTGGCCATTTCTGGACCTGTGCAACGAAGCTGTGTATCTCACACTTATCTAACAGACCCTGCATAGGTGAAGAACCAGCAGAAATATTATTGTATGGAGCTGGAGAGAACAAGCAACCCTGATGTAGCGGTAAACAAGAACTAGTGACTGGCCAGATCTTAAAACTTTTCTACACAAGAAGTTGTTCAGTGTCCGATACAACTAAGAAGCTGAAAAAGGACTCTTTTCCTTTAACTTAACTGGTTATAAAGCAAAATAAGTGAAACTAAGAGATTCATGCTTTTATACTTAAAGAGTATGCAAATAGGAGAGTTATACCAGCACAACTTTTTTATGTAGACAAGCCCATAAATAAAGTATTTTGAAAATCTACTAACATCTAAAAACAAAGGCTGACATCTTATGGCAATTAAAACTCAGAATTAAATACTGAGTAAGGTTTAAATTAGAAACAGCTTTACCTTAACATAGACTGTCATGTACTTTAAGCCATGATCTATGTTTTTTGCTAGCAAAGGAGTGGTTTTGTTTTGATACTTTCTAAAAAGAAAATATTTTCTGTTTTATTTAGGCTTTGTTCAATTAATGAAAAATTCTAACCCAAACACAAATGCAGTGTGAGCTGCAAGACAAGAATCTAAGTAGTAAAACAGTCCAATCTACTAACAATGACACTGCTAAAGCTGAAAAGATATTAAACTGGTAGTAATCTAAAACATTCTTAAAAAATCATAAGACTTAAAAAAAAATTCCCATATATTAAGCACGATTTTTATCTTTAGTAACACGTGAAACACCTAAGGCCTGAATTTTAAGTGTTTGCAGGATTCAGGACCCATAGAATCCAATAAAGCAATTATTTAAACATTTATTTTTATTAGTTACTGTATGTATGGTGCTTTGAAGATGGAATAACTATGTGAAAGCACTGAGAATTTGTTAGGAAAAAATCCTACACAAGTTATAGCTCTAAATCTATAACCAAGCACTTGGTTACCATAATTTTTTTCATGTTCCTAACTCTATATTATATTTGCAACCTGTTCCCTATATGTAATTTGCTGTTATAGAGTTCCAGTACAATTCCTAATTATAGGTTGATACAAAGAAGTCTAACTAATTTTCCTTTGGAGACAAGTGTATCAGCTGCATAAAATATGGAAACAGCAAATTATTTTGCTCCAGAACATCTTGGAACAAATAAGTACTGGTTTTGTTCTCCAGATTTCCTGTATGTTAGTCAGTGAAAATCCAAATCTCCTGCCCTGAATTTTCTCCAAAATGTTTGCAGTTTACAGAACAGGAACTTATAGAACGTTTCCTATTCACTAAGCTCCAGGTACACAGCTAGAGTCAGTAGAAAAATTTGCAGTGACTTTAAAAAGTTTAGAGTGAGGGAGTTACAGCAGCAAAATTCTGTATCACTAGGCAGCTATTTAGAGGAGACTCCATTGAGATTTGCTCAATATTAACAAACCTTAAAGAAGTCTTCAAATTGCTTGCTATTATAGAGTGCAGGGATGTTAGCAGAAAACTGCAACAGATCTTCAGCACACTGTCTTCTTTCTTCAATCACAGTTTCATCAAACCTCCCTGGAACAGAAATATGGATTGACATGCTTTAAAATAATTATAACAATTATAGCACAAGAAAAAAATCCTCTGAAGAAAATGCCCCGCATCTATGAGAGTCATTCAAATGCTTCAGGAGACTGTGGCAATCTTCACACTTCCTATTCTTAACTGTCCCTAGAGTCTTGTCTTCTGCAAACCACTTAAATGATGAAAGCTGGCAGTCACAACAGGAACCCTTGGCTCTCTCATCCTAAAAAATATGCGAGGCAACACTCTTCATTAGCCAAGAGACGCTAACGTATGTCCACAGATATCTGAAAGTAAATGATACGTGAACAATTTGACAATATGCCTGTCAATGTCAGACTTAATTAGGGCCCTAATCCTGTAAGGAGCTGAGCACTTTCCACTCATTCTCAAAAAAAGAAAAAAAATGAGTCAATCTAGAAAACAGGTAATAGGGCTCCCAGATGCCCTCTGTGGAAGCTGTAAGGAGCTGCTTTCAACAGCTGGCTCCCCCTAGAAGGCCTCTAGTGTAGCCAAGCCGCCAGGCAGAAAAGCACTTGTTCCTAGGATAGCTCCTGATTCATATGGTAAAGGGTGCTTTTTCCCCATAGATACAAAAAGTTTAGAGTTAGAAGGCAACACAGCCTCCAACATCTGCCTTTCTTCCCTTACCACTTCCCCATTCTGTGCCCCAAACCTCTTCCATAGAAGGAGAGATGTTAAGGAAGAACCCTAAAGCTTTTGCTTGGTTTTCCTCTCCAATCCACTCCTTCTCCCAGAAAAAGGACAGTCTAGCCTCTAGCTATAGTCATATACTATGCAATTGAACCCAAATGCCCATAGCCTTTCATACCAGCTATGTCACAGCTACCATATCATGTGAAATCCATACTGAATTTACTCAGTTTCAGGACAAGGTAAAGCCCTCATCTTGGAATTGATATAGGGCAGCAAGGGGGTCAGGTAGCTGCTGCAGCTCTGGCTCCAGTCCCAACTGCAGACCAGGGCTGCAGCCACAGCTGCCGTGTGGCCTGCCCTCTGCCACCTCTGCACCCCCTGCCTCTCTCCCGCTACAGCCTCAGGCCCCTGGCCCCTCTCCCCTGTCTCCTCCCCACCCATTTCCCCCATCTCCTCCTCCATGCTGCTTATATCCCCACCCCATAGTCTCAGGCCCCTTTCCCCCCATATCTCACCCCCCTCCCCACTCTTCCCCTCATTCTTGCTCTGTGCTAGCAGACTTCATCCCCGCTGCAGCCTGGAGCACAGAGTATAGCCCTAGCCCCACCCCAGAGCAGTGGTGCTGGCTCTGCACAACTGCTATGGGGCTGGGATGGGGCCACGTTTCATGCCCCAGGCTGGAACAGAGGCAGAGCCTGCCCACACTGGAGCAAAGGTAAGGGGTTGGGGGTGGAAAATGAGACAGGCAGGTGGCGGAGAAGCAAGCTGCAGGGGCAAGCTGTTTGACCCCCCCACTGTCCCCTAGTGCATGCCTCCCTGCAGCAATGCAGGGGATGAATTTAAGACAATCCTCCAATAATTACGATTTTATAAATGGAAGATTATAGCAAGTTTATGTATTTTCCATGTATAGAATCTAATTATTGGGGGGTCACTTTGGATTTGGGTAAATACAGTGGTTACATGTTCAAAATAAATAGGATAGACATTAACAGAAGACTAGAAAGAAAAAACAGGTGGGAAGGTCTTCTACATATGAAAACAAAAGACTGAGGCACACCTGTCCAAGAAATATTGCCCTAGTACATTGGCAGTAAATAAGAGTTACCTGACAGCACCATGAAACTTACTCTGAAGATAACTACATAGAACATAGAGAGAAATTTCACTTATGCTAGGAGCAAGCAAAAAAGCATCAAAGTAAGATTCCTTTCAGAAATCATTCAAGTGAACACTTCCCACATGGAACTAGAGGAAAGAAACAACCAGAAAAACCCAACAAATAAGGAAACCCCACACAGAGTCAACAACCAAGTCCACAATTTATTGTCTTGGATGTGGAGTGGCTCAGGTTTCAGAGTTAAAGGGGCAAGTACAAAAAAGGGAACTCAACTCAGCAAGTGGCAGCAACCAAAAGAAGCTGAAAACAGGATACAACAAAATATTGGATTTGGAGCAACAGAAAACACTGAGAAGTTGTCAAGCAGCCAACAAGGTCAGAACCTACAACATCCACAAAACACACCACAAATTTTACCT